TCCTTTCCTCCCTCTCTTTTTCCCTCTCTTCTTCCCTCCCTTTTTTTCTCTCCTTCTCTCCTCTCTCTCTCTTTCTTTCTTCCTCTCTTTCTTTCATTCTTCTGATACTCAGAAGTCACAAATTCTTCAAATCTCTAGTCTAAAGTTTGAATCGTCCTCATGATATTTACCGCAAATGATCATTAAATCTATGTCCATGGACTATTAGTGATCATAAATTTGAGTTCGGGTTCTAGAATGAAATCATATAGCAGATAGCTATCTAATTCATTTTTATGTTAATATTTTGTTCTAGTTATAATCCCCTTGCTACCTTGAGAAACTAATTTGATCACTTGTTCACATCCCAATCTTCAGTTTTCATAAATCTCTGAATGAAGTTTAAAGTGTTACTTATGATTCAACCTTTTCCAAATTATGTTTCAGAGGACAGGGCTCTTAGGATGAACCCCACAGGAAGGGTGGTCTGCTGTCAAATGAGTGTACTGCATGTCAAAAACAGAGGCTTCATTTGGTGCTCCAAGGAGACACTGTAGAAACCACAGTGAGGGTCAGCGTAAGGGTCATGCTCATACTGATCCTGAAATAGATTTTCACGTTTGAGGGAAGAATTAAATTATCCTCACTGGCTCCTTCAATAGAATGTAGTGATTCTTCCTTTTTCATAAGGCAGGGTCCCATTTAAATCCTTTCGAATAGAAGGGAAAGTGAGAATTCCATAATTAATCTATTCTCAGTCATCACAGGTCAGCCCCGGGTCACACCCATCAGGAGGGTTTGCAGGTGAGTCACCATCTTGAGAGAAGGGCTAGGCCTGTCTACTCCCAACATAATTCACTTTGTTCTCATCAGTAGCAATGGAAGATTTCACCCTTCACTTAATAAAGGCTCAGCAGATTTTAGATGAGAGAGAGTCAGAAGTCAAAGAAGTCCACACCTATCCTTTCCAGACACTTGGGTATCATACTTGATTTTCTTTCATACATTGTGTCAACATTTAGTAGCTGTAGGTAAATTGCTTAAAGATTTTCACATGGTATCCGACCCTGTTACATCAACTGTTTCTATTCTCCCATAAATCACTCCAGTCCTACTAAAACACCTCACATATTTCACATAGTTGAGATCACAGTGCACATATAATTTTGTATTTTGTGTTTCTCAGGTGATGCATATCTTTCATAATCTTATGATCTTCACTAATACTGTATATTATAATGTTTATGCAGAGTATTAACCCTCAGTTCCTTAATATTTTCCCAACTTTGTAATTTTAGGTGACATCAAATGTTGATTATGACATAGTGTGAAAAATCAAACTTTTGGGGCAATCTCAAGGCAGCTGAGAGTAGAATAGTTATAAGTAACCAAGAAGAGCATGGCCAGCAGGTGCAAGGTTTCAGTCAGGTGGCAAAGTAAGTTTTGGTATCATATGGCACAACAGGGTAAGCCTAGTTAATCATAATGCCCAGTACGTCTCAAAGTAAAAGATTTTTAATGTACTCACAATAAAAAAACAATAAACTGAAGGCAAGGGACATCCTAAATATCCTGATTTTGTCATCGCCCAATGTATACATGAATCAAAGCACCTCACTGCACTTCATAAAATGTAGAAGGATTATATGTCAACCTACAATAGAATAGCACTAATTTAAAAAGAAAATAAAACATTTTATACAGAAATATTTTGTTTCCTTTAACCATATTGTTAGTGTGGACTTTTATGAATGATATTTTTGATTCAAAAGATATATTTTTACATGTTAAGGCAAAGTAATCTTTTCTAATGCTACATGTTTATAACAATACCAATAGGTATTAAATGAGAATCAGATGGACAGGTATGGTGGTGCACACTTGTAATCCCAGCCCTTGGGAGCTTGAGGCAGGAGGACTGCTGTGGGTTCAAGGTAAGCCTGAACTATACAATGAGAAATTTTCTGAGAAAACAAATGAAAACAAAAACAAAACAAAACACAAAGACTGGAGAAGATCATATTTAAATAATAAATTCCCAATATTAATCTCAGAAAAAAGAAGAAATTAAAAAAACAGCAAGAAAGTTTCAGAGATGCATTTTGGAACAACTGAAGTATAATTAAAATATACACAACATGAATTAAATCTACAAAGGAAAATGTGTTATCCATTTAAGCACTATCTGAAGCATTTTTGTTTTTGTTTCTTTTTTTTTTTTTTTTTTCTATTTTGAGGCAGAATTTCACTATAGAGTCCAGACTGGACTTGAACTCCCTTTGTAGCTCAGGCTGTCCTCATATTCACAGCAATCCTCCTGTCTCAGCCTTCTGAGTACTGGGATTACAGGCATGGACCATCATACCCAGCCAAATACAGCATTTTATATTAATACAACCAATAAATCTATTAAAGATAAAACATTTAAATTTCTGACAAAAGCAGATCATTGGGAAATAGTTAAAATTATTGAAAGTCAAATCTTTCATATTAGAATTTGGAGAATCTGATGAAAGAATTGCTTACAGCAAAAATATGAAAATATTATGCTAAAAGAAAATAAATTGAAGAAAATCAATATATAAAAGCTATTATATCTAAGTTAGAATTTATACAGCCACTTAAATTAACCAAATCAAGTCATTAAATATGACAAATGATATTGATCAAGTCAAGGAATCCAATCAAGAATAAATGCAGTAACATAATCATTATATAATTGTAAGGAGGATACACTCATTAAACATTCATTTGAAAGAGCGTGAGTGCTTGAAAAAGTGTCATCAGTGTGAGTGACTTTCTATCAAGCAATCCAAAATACATTTCAAAATGAAAATAGAATACCCCAAAAGCTGTCATCCCAGCTACTGGGGAGGTTGAGGCAGGACTGCAAATTTGAGTCCTGCCTAAGCCACTTAACAAGACCCTGTCTCAAAAAAAAGATAAAAATAGGCTGAGAATGGTCCTGGGTTCAAGTCCTAATATCACAAAAATGGCAACAACCACAATAATAATAAAATAAATTAAGGTGATTTTTTATTTGTTTAAATGTACTGTAGAAATAATAGCCATATTTAGGAACCTTCCCAGAATGAGAGTATGTCTTTGTGTGTGAAATATCCTGAAAGGTTTATTCTTTTCTGAAAATTTTTACTCATTATATGTTCTTTCTTTAAGCTACAGGACAATTTTAATTATATCCTCAAATGTGCATATCTGCAAACATACACACACAGACACACACACACACACACACACACCATGGCACTGATGGAAAAAGCAGGAACACTCCAAGCTTCTCAGTGTGTTAAAGATCTTGGCATCACAATGACAATGTTAGGGTGTTCTCCATCCATAAAGTGTATTTTGGTATTGGTCATATAGGTTTCCATAAATTCAAATAATCTCTATGCAGTCTAAAATTGAAAGTTCTGTGTATATTTTCTTGGTGTGTGAAAGCCATCATGGATACTTGGCTTGAGTACACATCAGGTAAGAGTTTTATTTTTTGTGTTGAGATTTTTCTAAAGTATCCCTACCAGGAAGTCCCATAATGAGCATAAATTTGCCCATTGTGGTGGCACACACTTGTAATCCCAGCACTCAGGAGGCTGAGGCGGGAGTGTTGATGCAAGTCTGAGACCAGCGTGAACTGCATAGCAAGACCCTATCTCAAAAAATAAAAATAAAAAATACAAAGAGGGTTGGGGATGTCTCTTAGTGAAAAGATCCTTGGTTCACTTTCCAGTAGCAAGAAAGAAAAAGGGGAGGAAGCAAGGGAGGGATAAAGAAAGAGGATGGAGAGAGAACAGAAGGAAGGAAGGAAGGAAGGAAGGAAGGAAGGAAGGAAGGAAGGAAGGAAGGAAGGAAGAGGACATAAACAAACTTCGGTTTAAGGCAGACCCAGTTGCAAAATTTGTCTATGTTAAACACTCATCTGTAAAATAAGGCCCAAAACAACTTGCTTGTATGTTTTGCCTTGACGCCTAAGAAAAGTCAAGACTACCCTCAGGACTTTGGTTAAGTCAGGTTTTCTTTAAATACTGTTTTTACTAATGAATTAGTTATTTTTCTTTTTCATAACTTTTAAAAATAGCAGTAATCCCTGGTACTGAAATCTAGCTGTAGGTTTCCACATGTTTGTGTATTCTCTCTGTTGTCTCTCTGTGTCTTTGTCTCTGTCTCTGTCTCTCTCTCTCTCTCACACTCACACACACATACACACACCTCAAATCATTCCTTACCATTTAAAGACTAACTCACCCGTTCTTCCTTAATAACTGATGAGGAAAACAAATATTAATAAAACTTCCAAGGACAAGACTTGCAAAATGGGTTCTGAATTAACTGAGTACGAATCTTGGAGAATTTACTAATTCTATGAGCACTTTTTTGTATCATATGTAAAGTACAAAACATAATAGTAGCTACTCATAAAAATGTTAAGTGTCACATGAATTAACATTTCTAAGAACTTAGAGCAGAAGGTGACACATAGTTAATATTCAATAATTGTTAGCTATTATTAGTGCATGAATTGTCATTGAATGTATACTGACTAAAAATGTCTTTAGCCTGGTATAATCCACATACCAGGATGTGACCATAAAGTTCGGTCACACTTCCTTCTAACCAAACTGTGATGCAACTAATGATCATGTGGTCAAAATCCCACCCAGGTGTGGTGGCTGCACACATACCTATAATCTCACCACTCTGGGAGGCTAAAGAAGAAGGATAGCAAATTCTAGCCCAGTCTTGGCAATTTAATGACTTAGTAAGACTGTCTCAAAATTTAAAAAAAAAAAAACCTTAAAAAAGAAGGGGGGGAATGCCTGGGGGGAAAAGCCAAGGGTGAAACCCCAAGAACAAAAAAAAAAAAAATCAAACATCTTCTATACACTCTCAGATATTAATGAGATTTCCCCACTGCTGCTTTTTAGATATGTGGGAAATAGAAATTTTAATTTTTTGACCATCAACTCTTCATCACGCCACCACCATCCCAAAGTCTTCCTTACCAGTGAGCTTGGAAACCATCGCTTGGCTGGATCCAGTGATTGTCCAAAATCACCACAATTTTACTCACTCAGCAGCACGCGGAAAAGATGATTACTCTATTTTCCCACTGCTGCTCAAAATATACCTGCATGAATGCTCTTCCTTTTGGCCTAAGTTACTGAAAATTTGTGCATAATAAAAGGAAGGTTACCGGAAAATAACTTTAAAAGATCCTTAACTCCTTTTAAATTACTCCTCTTCATTTAAAAGAAAGCTAAAATGTCACCTCCTTAGAGAGAACTTTTCAGAACATCGTCCCCTGGTGGCTTCCTCCTCCTCACTCTTAGCGTCACTGCCTTTATCATTCTTGGCCTCTTCTTCTTCCTTGTTCCAGAGCATAACCTAAAGTTATCATTCATATATATGATATATATGAGATAATGCAAACAAATTTCATATATGCATATACAAAACTCCATTACTGGTTTTCTTGTTTTATAAAGGGAATTCTTGTCCATTCCTGAGTCTTTAGAATGTAGACTAGGGTCTGCCTCATTGCAGCGAATCAATGCACTAATGAATGAAGCACAGAACCAAATTTTCCTTAGGGAGCAGCTGATTTTCAGTCATCTTTCAGCTCGCAATTTGCATATGGCTTCTTTGAGCAATGTCTTCCCGGATCCTGTCGACAAGATAAGCTCTTCCTGTGAAATGATGTCTCACTACTCTATTCATGTGAAGGCCTTCACTTAATTATTTGTCCTCTCTGCTTGACTGTCAAGGCAAAAATTATGCCTGCTCTATCTCACATGGTATCCCTAACTCTAGAACAGTGCATGAGGTGCATCTGATGTTTGATAAACTTACCCATTAAAATGATATTCAAATTGATAAAATAACATCAGATTAGAAGATAACTTTCTTCAGAGACAACACAAAAGTGAAATTTGAAGAAATCACTCTAAAACAACACTGACGTGACGAAGAGAACATGCTTTATTTTTTCTTGATACTTTACATCTCCAATTCATGAGTCATTGTGTTCAAATCATCACTAAATATAACAAATTCTTTCACTGCCATTGTAAGTACCTTTCAGAATAGCACTCAGTAAGAAATGCTTCACTTAACCCATAAGGTACTAATGCCTTCCATTAGTAAATCTAATGACTAAGAAAATAGTTTCCACATGTGTACTTTCACATTATTCTATAAGGCAGGAAAAAAATGTAATAGTCTTCTATTGTTACATCTGGTGTCATTGGGAGAAAACTGCATTCATACTGACTTGTCCAACACAGTCAGCCTTTAGGAATGTGAAGACGACAGCACATTCTATACAGATGTCCACAGCCAAAGTGGGAAGAATGGCCACTCAACTGTTTTGGTGCTTAGACATGAAACTCAGTTTCCATATATGTCCCCATGACAGCACAGAACACCATTTACTTCTTTTACAAAGGTACCACTTTATCAAGGGACATAAAAACCTGAGCAAGCCCCAAAACAAAACATGGTCTTAAATGGGCAGTAATAAGAACATTGATGTCACTTCCTCAGACAATAATCTATGAATTCAATAAAATTCTACACAAAATTCATATAGAACTTTCCACAGAATTTTACAAATTGATTTCAATAATCATGTTGTAGTATTATGTCTAAGACTACCTCAACTGATCCTGGTTTTTCTTAATTAATGTTTGATTTTACACATTTATTAGAATAATGTGATAATAAAACCCATGTATATAATGTCTAGTATTCAACTGATAAAGAAAATTTTTGTGCACAATGGGATGGTACGCAACCACTAAGGAGAATTATATCCTGCTGTTTGCTCCAAAAGTGATGGAGCGAGAGGACATTGTGTTACCTGAAATAAGACACAGGAAGACAGCTTCTGCATGTTCTCTCTCATATGGAGAAGTTAAAAGATAAGAAAGCTCACCTGAATGTAGAGCAGTGATAACTAGAGGTAGGGAGGTGGGAAAAGGGTGAATAAAGGAAGGCTGGTCTTGACCAGTGCACATTACATGCATGTATGAAAAGATCATATTGAACCTTATTATGATGTATAATTAATAAAAGCAAATAAGAAAGTCTAGGTGATTGTGGACTAGTGATTACGAGAGGCTAGGAGGAGGGAGGGCAGAGACGATCAAAGGAGGCAGGATAGTAGAAAGTCTATCACCATTAGACAGGGCACACTTCTATGTTCCCCAGAACAGAGGGTGGCTATGGTTTGCAGGATCCTATTTTACATTTCTTAAGTAAGAGGAGAGGATCTTGAAGGCTCTAAATACAGGAATAGCAAATAGATGGAAGCTTTATCCTCATTTGACCAGTGTATGTTATATAAATGATTGAAACATCACACCATAGTTAATAATGGGTGTGATCATTATTTATTAATAAAAAATGTTTAAAAGACTAAAAAAATAGCAATGGTAACTACCATTTAATTAAACAAAAGTTTCTAAGTAATTCAGTATAATTGTAACTGTGACAAATTTGCTCAGCCCTAACAGACTGTCTCTGGATTGAAAAAAATCACTTATAGCTGGATGTAGTGGTGCAACTCTGTAATCCCAGCACATGGAAAGACAAGGCAGGGGGATCTCTGTGAGTTTGAGGCCAGCCTCAGCTACTTAGGGAGTTCAGTGTCAGTATGAACTACATAATAAGACCCTGAAAATTAAAAAATATATAATTACAGCGCTCCACTTTCCTCATTAATAAAATGCATGTGAATGTAAAGCATCATTTTAAGGTTTCAGGGTGGTAGTGACCATGACCGTAACAACAATTATAGCTTCCACTCATAATTTACTATGTGCTCAGTCTTGTGATAAATATTTTATCCACACAGTCTGATTTAAACCTCACAAAAACTTTTCAATATTGGTGAATTTTCAAAATAAAGAACGAAGGTACAAGAAATTGAACTACTTCCCAGGGAGGACTGCATGAGCTCTGCAGTGTATTTGCCCTGTATGAACGGGACACTGCAGTAAGGAGCGCTGGAACGAGGATTTAATTCAAGCTGGAAACATAATGCTCTATCATGTGTAAGGGCTATCGTGGACAGTACAGATGCAAAAATACTGGTGAGTGCTTTCATAAGCAATTATAAATATGAAATCATTTCATTTTTAATTTCTTGTGTAGGATACGGTATGCAAAGTAAATGTCATTAAGCTTACCAGAAACATCAATTCAGAAGGAAGACTATTTAATCAGGAATGGAAGAAACACTAGTTTGACACAAACAGGGGAGTAGTGTGCAGAGCATTAGCTGGGTTTGATGAGCACAGAAGCACCCCAGCCTTCCTTGTTAACACAGTCTCTGCCTCTTTCTAAAGAGGTAGAATATGTTCTCTTGGTATAGAGAAAAACATATAGAAGCACCAATATGCCTGTGCTTTCTGTAAAGAGAGAGAAATACAGTTTCCAATTACACCTTTACATTATATCTATTTTAAGATCCTCTCTCTTGTTTCTTCACCTGAGCATACCTGTCGTAGCCCATTTCATGAAATTGGTGTTTTGCTTAAAGCACACATTGCTATACACTTTAAATCTTCTCTTTTGGTGACCTTAAACATAATTTAGAATCAACTTAGTAAAAACAGCCTCATATGCTTATCTAAGGCTTACAGGGTACCGGTCCCTGTGCTAGAGTTATATTGTCTACCTAATCTAATCCTCTCAGTCACTGTAAGAGCAGCATTATGATTTTTCAGTGTTGTAGATGTTGAAACTAAGGCATAAAGACGTTGTGTAATTTGCCGTAGACCACACAAGGAGGCCTCAGCTGCAGCACTCTTAAATCACCGATCCCCCCATGAAAGTCAGTGCAAAATCGTTCTCAACAGCTGATCCCTCTAAATGAAAGTCTTGGAAAGTGCACTACACCTAACTCAAGCCTCTGAGTTCATTCCACATTACTGCCTCTAAAATTTCATTTTTATGAACAATGCAACGTTTCTCTAAGTCACATTCTAGCTCGGGGCCCCTTTTCTCATGAAACTCTAAGTACTCTTCTTGACTTTTCTCCTTTGATTTCTATCACACGCTGCCTGACACTATCATTATTTGGGGTCATTATTCGAGCTTTCTGTTTGCCCCAGTTTTAAAAGCTGTCATTATTCAAAGCAACCATTTAATGATGATTTAGGGAACAAGCTGGATGTGGTGGCAAAAGCCTATAATCCAAGTACTCAAGAGGCTGTGGCAGGAGTAAGGTAGGATAGAAGAAATAAATGATAGGTAGAAAGGAGACAAGGAAAACAGAACTAAAACTTGTACTTTGTAAGAAGACTGCAACTTCCAGGACTTTTAAAAGCTGTCATTATTCAAAGCAACCATTTAATGATGATTTAGGGAACAAGCTGGATGTGGTGGCAAAAGCCTATAATCCAAGTACTCAAGAGGCTGAGGCAGGAGTAAGGTAGGATAGAAGAAATAAATGATAGGTAGAAAGGAGACAAGGAAAACAGAACTAAAACTTGTACTTTGTAAGAAGACTGCAACTTCCAGGACTTAGCTGAAGTCACCTAACCCAGCCCCATGCTGACATCCCTTGGCCACATTTACATCTCTTCCCTACCAGACCCAACAGTAAAGGGCCATAAACTGTCTTAACTAAGAAAGTAAGGTAGAGGAGCCTGGCCCTAAGACAAGGACTGTCCCACTGTCAATAGTCCAGATTTATACCCACTTCCTACCTGACCCATTGCTAAGAAGTCATAAATTCACTCAGTTAAGAAAATTAACAAGTTGAGCTAATCCGGGGAATGGTTAATTCACCTATTCAAAAAAAAATGCTTATGCCAGTGAATGGGCTGATTCCCTTTTGAGGGAGGGAGGAGTGGATGGGTACTTTTATCCCTAGCTTTGCAACCACCCAGGAAAAGTATAAATGTACTAAGTTCCAAACTGTAATGCATTTTAATTTTTTGAACACCCATACTGCTCCACCCTCTTCCTCCAAGGTCTTGCTCTGCAGTTCAGGCTGGCCTCAAACTCACAGTAATCCTCCTGCCTCAGCCTCCCTTGCCAATTGCTGGGATTACAGGCAT